AGCCGTCCCGCCGCCCGAGAGCCACCCACCACCCACCCACCACACCCGAGCATCATTCGACGTCGAGCTGCCAGTGCGAGGCAATCACTCGCCGGTGAGGTTGCAGCCAAGCTTCTGATGCTGTTGTGGACGGCGATCATGGTCCGCCCCGACGCAGAGGGAATGGGCAACGCTACCTACCGATCGAATGGCCGGCCGTCTTGGGGTTGACGGCTGGCGAGGCGGCCGGGCGAGGTTTGCCGTCCCAAGATTGGTGTTCTTGGTGCTGGGTCCCTCCGAGCCTCCTCCCTCTATTGACCGAGCCGTCTGGGACAGCACAGCATTGCTTCGAAGCTTGCATGGGCGGCTGTCAGACTTGCCGGAGCGGTCTGTCGTTGACCAACGGGCGGTGGGCGTCCTGGGCCGCTTGCAGCGGGAGCTGTCTCTCTTCCTTTCCATTTTTATCTCCTGTCGTGAAGCATCGACCGTTCCCTCATCATCCAGCTCAAAGTTCCTCGAGGCTCGCTGGATTGGGTGTGTTGGGGAAGCAAGAGCCAGGGTCCATTGTCTCTGGTCTGCCATTTGTGATGCTGTCTCGGTACTTGATGGCACCGTACGGTATATTTGGGCTTCCGGAAGTCGAGATCCCACGGGGGTGGTTGGGGTCTCGGTTGGGAGCCATCCCGCGTCTTTCGGCGATGGTTGACGCGGATGGAAAGGGTTCAAGTCAAGCCCCTACCCGACCGATTTCCGTGCCACTCAAACGGGACCGCCTCGACGGGCCAGAAGATAATGGCTTTTTCCAATGGTTGGTGCCTTCTGCGTCAGTCGACGTTGGCAGTTTTGCTCCTTGAGAGAGAGAGCAGCGAAGGGCAAAAAAGGAGTTTTTACCCTTTTCTTTAGTTGATTCTGTTGATTCATGTCCACATTTTAATCTCAAGTCTATTAACCCCTTATGGCTGAGATTATCTAGAGGGAATGAACACTGCACCTCTAGATACTCGCCAGGGAAAATAGACCCAACTGCCTGGCAGGCAAGAACCAACTGCACCAGCGGGTAGTAACAGATGAGATTGGGATTCAGTGTTGCCAAAACTTTACATAGGTTTGAACCTGCCACACATCAGCACTGTCTGGCTGGCTGCCTGAACTGTGGCAACTCTTACCTGCGAGCCAGTCCTCGCCGTCTCAACCACCACTTCTTTTTCCATCATCATGGAACCAACTCCCAACACCAGCACACCCGACATTTTCCGCGCACCAGGTCGACATTTCGTCCGAAGCCCAAGAGACGCCATGACTGAAGAAAGCCAAAGTGATCGAAATCCAAAAGGGTCACCAGCTCGTACATTCTCATCAACGACAATTTCCTCCTCGAGAAATATTGATGGCGTCGTCTGGCGTCCGTCGTCTGGCCTCCGCCGATCTCCCAACCTTGCTCGACCGTTTGATGAGCCTCCCTGCCTGCTTTTCCTGCCTGCCTGCCTCGACCGTTTCGCGCACCCGGCCTTGGCGTCGCCCAATCCGGGCCCCTGGATTTCCTCGGGAGTCGGATGGCGCCCCCTCGTCGCCGATCGGCCCTGGCTGAACGCTGAACGGTTTGTTCGAGTTTGTTGCTTTTTTTCTCTGTCCCGCCCTGCCATGCCGCCTTGCTTTTTTCGAGCACGACATTCTGTGCCTCTGCTGCACCGCGAGCATATATTGATTTTGGATATGCCATCCGCGCGCAGAAAACCGGTCAGGATGAGCCCTCGGGACCAGAGTCTTTGCCTGCAACGGCCCGTCGGGAAACGGAGGGAATGGTTGGCTGGCGGGGGTCAGGGGGTCAAGGTCCCAGGATCGTTGCCTTGCTACCCCGGACTGACGCCCAGATAACCGGCAGAAAAACAAAGCAGAGATGGTTCGATTCAAACGCCGCGGGGAAGTTCGACCAAGGCCCAGGCCGATCTCCCAACCGTTTTTCCTATCCAAGGAACCTTTTCCTTTTCGATGCTGGTCGATCATGACCTTGTCGTCCTCCTCTTCTCATGTAGCCCACGAGGCTTCCAGGCTTCCTCCACCTGAGAGTTGCTTTTCTCCTGGCACAGGCAGGCGGGCAAACACAACTGCCAAGATCCCCTCCCCAAGAGCCATGCTGGATCTCTGGGTGGTGGCATGAAACACACCGCAGCTGGACGTCCACAAACCCCGGCCTCTGCAGCAGCTGTCAGGACACCACGAAACCGGCGGGATGTCGAACCGCAATTGCAGGGCGCCACAGCCCTATCCTCATTTGCTCGACACACAACATACCAGTGCCCCCCCCCCCCCCCACCCCCGCTCGTTGTTGATGACTGGACTGGACCGGACCATGAACCACTCCAACATCAGAGGGACACCCAAGTTCCCCCCTCGCGCGCGCGCAGCGGGCAAAGGAACAAATCACAGCGCCCCGTTGGCCCGGAGCTCTGGACGAGTTTGGCCACGCCACATGTACGTCCCGCTCCGGATCACCGCTGCGGCCGCGCCTCGATTCGGCGAGGGGTGCTGCCGCGAGAGGGGGGGGAGGGCGGGCAGTGTGACTGTGGGAGCAATGGACTTACGAATACGTAGGTAGGTACCGTGGTTTGGTTTCCTCTGTGTCTGTCCTCACACTCTCTTCGTATGTCCCTTCGTCTGCTGCTCGCGGTCAACCGACCAGGAGCTACGTACAGTTCCAGCTGTTGGAAGCGAGACTACTACTGCTGCTGCTGCTGCGGATACTACGGATACTACACCTGTTACTGGAGCTGCCGCCGCCGGCCCTGGATGTGAGTACATGCGCTTGCCGCATGGTAGTACCGACCGCCGGGTTGGGCTGGTAGCGATGCCGGGGGGTAGATGCCCGTGACAGACCTGTTGGGTATGTGACGTCTCTGCCCTGCTCTGCTACGGGGTAGGTGTCACTGGCGGTGCCTGAAAGGGGTACTACTACAGTGCTAGGGTCCTATTGAGGAGAGGGTTACCGGTAGCAAGCGGTAGTGTTGACGGCGGGGCGGGAGGTACTACGTCCACTGCCTCGCTTGTAATAGTGAGCGCCGAACCGAACGGGCTGTGGCCTTGAAGTCGGGATGATCGACTTCCCGGTGGCCCCGGGGGATAGGTGGGATGGTGGTGGCTTGGACGGGAAGACAAGTCTCGGTCACTTCATGTCTTGTCCTCGTGGTAGAGCCGGGTAGGTCTGCATGTAGTTGCGCCCCTGATGGGCATGTTGCTGCTCGGGATAGAGGGACTGAGGGTCATCTGCCCGAGGTAGGGAAGTCGTCGAGGGATGTCAACTGTGCTCAACCGGTGAGGCCGTGGAGAGTTAGGTGCCCTTGGTGACTCGCACACTGCTCACTTCATCATACACGGTGCTAGCAATGCAAGTACACGAGGAGGCCGCGGCGTGTGGTGGGAGGGGGAATAGCATGTCCTAGAGAGTGGAAGTCTGCTGTTACTAATATATCTTGCCTGCTAGCCATCCAGCCCTGGTTGCATGTTGACCACACCGAGCCGACATAGAGAAAGAGACACGAGACAAGGCCCGAGATATGGTTGATTCGGCAGCCGGCTTGCTCTGAGGGGGTCTCGGGAGCTTCAGGAGGACTAGACCTCTGGACTTGTGGTACAGTGTGGTAGAGCGACATTACCTCGGCATGACTTCCAAAACACTGGTAGTTGTCAGGCTGGCACAGGATTTGAGCACTGAATGTGAGGCTTCTATCCATACGTGCCGACAAACAGAAGAAGGACGGCGGGAGGCTCCTGCCGGTATGTCCCCAAATCGGTTCGCTGCTGAGGTCCTGTCTCTACTAGTAGTATATGCCAACAGGGAAGATGCCCGGTGGGCGTGAGCTAGCCATGTAATAACCCAAGAGTGGCTGGTATCCTACCCTTATGTACCTATGCTTTTCCAAGAAAGTGATGTTGGAGAGGAAGCATTGGTCACAGTTCTATCCAGCATGCTCAAACGTACTGTGTCTTGTATTATGGATCAGGCGTGCCTTTGGGTTCGGAAATGGATGAAGTGAACTCGTCAGTCATGCCTGCTACATTGCTGGGCGTTTGTATATTTTCGAGGCACATATTTTGCGTGTATTACGGATACTGCCAGGTATCTATCAAGGGGAAGAGGGATAACAAGGGAATGGGGGTGGAAGAAGCCCGATGCGCCCACCTCAGTGTTGAAAGTTAAGTTTGGCAGATATTCCTCTCCAACTACGTCCATTCTATTAAAACTGCTTGTTTGAAGCAAAGCGCCATTCTATCATTGATTCTCTTTCAGCATGTCTGGTTACCTAAATTCCATTCCGCTAAGGGCCCTGTGTCCGGCGGCGCCATGTCCTCTCCACTTGTCCTACCAGCACAACAGCTCATGACAACGGTATGCCATGATAAGAGACTCTCCAAGCCTGGGCCGTCTATCAAAACCGGTGCGCAAACCTCAGGCTAGCGTCAATCGTCGAAACAACCGTTGCCCTGTCATGCGAGGTTTGTTGACATCAGGGGCGAATCCACTCTTCCCAGCCAATAATGCTGCAGCGATGGCGCATGTTCGTCCCCACCTATCCCTCCGCAAAGCCGACTTCCCATCCATCTCTTGCTATCTACCAGAGATGCAAAATATTTGGAGTCTCAATTCAGAAATGACAGAGGTCGTCATTCAACAATCCGAAGTCACCACCGTCAGGGCAGGTAGGTACAGCAACAAGCGACAGCCAAAACACCCCCCCGTCCCTCCCTCACATCACACATACAGCTTTACTTTCGTTAATCCCCCTCCTTTCCAAACCAAACCACAGCAGCCATCCCAACTCAACCCAGTCTAACTGAAACAACTCGCTCGCTCGGCCGCTCGTCCTCCGACACTCGCATAAGGAATATTCAATACGCGAGCCGCGAGAGACGGGACACAACTCCACAGTCCCGTCCCCACCTCAACCCTATGCACACGCACGCGCACACAATGCACCCACAAATACCCCATTTTCGAACCCTTTTCCCATCAAATCACATTCAACGGTTGTATAGTGTAGTTGGTTATCACATCGGATTCTGATTTCATCGTCAGAATACTCTAATTTCCTTCCGGGGACCCCGGTTCGAGTCCGGGTACGACCTGATTTTTGTATGCTGGTACATACACACATGTGTCTTTTTTTGGCATTTCTGTTGAAGCTCTACGGACATGTACTGTGTATGTTTCGTCGTCCCTTACTTTTGGTCATTGTGCGACCATAGCAGTGGACGGACAGCATGGTCCGGCTTATGGTGTGAACACAACAGATCAACTTCGCTGTGGCTTCATATTGCAAAACACACGCACCTGCCCCCCAAAAGCCCACCACCACCTCAATAATTCGGCTCATCGTTCCAATACAGCGTCTCATGAAACACCCTACCACAACACCAGTCAGCATCACACCCCAATCACAAACAAAGCACATTGGCAAGCAAAAAGAACTCACTCCGGCCCCGTCGCCTCCAACTCCCACCCCAACACCAACTTAACCCACTGCAGCAAGTGACTCGCGACCTTGATCGCGCCCACGTCCGTGGGATGCCACTGCGGCCCAATATCATTATGCTGCAAAATCCCCGTCGTATTAAACAGATGCACAAACGGCTTCGTCGCCCTGCCCGTCCGCGACACGGTCTTAGCCACCCCGTCGTAGACCACCGGATCGGCGAGGTAGGCCGCCGAGTTGAACGTGGCGATCATGTCGCGGATCTCGGGGACGAAGCCCTTGTGGGCGACGGAGGAGTAGGTGGTGCCGGTGCGCTCGAAGCCGAGCCAGAGGGACTGGGGGGCGGGGGGTTAGCTGGTGGATGCTGGGGAAGGAGGGTATAGGGGGGGGGTACCATGACGATGATCTGCGCGTCGGGATACTTCCCGTGGACGCCCTGGATGAGTTTGGTCAGGGCGTCGATGTAGACGGCGGGTGGGACGTTGTTGGCGCGGTTTTGGTCGTTGGTGCCGATGTTGATGATGACGAGGTCGGCGGGTTGGTGCTTGGAGAAGTCCCAGGGTTCTGGGTTGCCTGGGTCGGGTATCAGCATCCGGTTGACAGGATTCTGGAGGTCGGGATTTTACCGCCGTATGCCTGAGCGGCTCTCCCCGACGTGTCGGATGTGTAGAACCACTGGTGGACTTGGCCGCGGGGGTTGCCCCAGCAGTCTTGGTCGGCGGCGCAGATTCCGGGGTAGGCTGTGATGGAGTAGTCTGTGTTTCCGAGACCGGCTCCGACGCCACTGTGGGTATGTTAGGATGTTGCTGGCGGGTCTATATATCCCTTCTTTCTCGAGTACATGGCAAGAAGGAACATGTAAGGCACTCACTACGCCCAGCTCGAAAGCCCCTCGTACGAAGTATACATTCCCGCAGCAAGAGAGTCCCCAATCACCTCAATCCTGCGCCTGGCATCCGGGAGCTTGACGACCTCGTGGCCGGCGGCCACATGGATCTTGTCAATCTGTACACCATACGCCCAGTTAGTGACACGCAGCTCAAAGGTGGTGACGGCGCCCGTGGTGTTCAGGTCCAGCCCCGGCATCTGCTCCGTGACGAGGAGGTGAGTGGCTCCGGCGGTGATGTTGGTGAACTGCCAATCCATGCCGGCGATGCGGTACCCGACGAGGACCCCGGGACTGGTGAGGGGCCCGAATGTTATGGCGGCAAGGGGCCCGGTGAAGCCGAACTTGAGGCCGGGGGCTCTGAGGCGAGGTCAGGATGGCCGCTTTTGCCGGGAGACTGGAACTCACGACCACCAAGAGACATATTTCGAGTCCCACCGCCCCTGGTACGATATTTCCGTGGCATTCTGAGGATAAGTGGTGAAGGAATGGGCCGAGGGGTCGACTCGGGTATCGGGGAAGTTTGTGATTCTCACTTGGCCATTTTGCAAGATGGTGCAGGAGACGCGGGACAGGAGAGCGAGGCCTACGACGACCAGGCTCGAGACGGAGGGCAGCATATCAGGGGTTGATGGCGATGCGATAGCGACAGACTCCCACGAATACGACCGCCTGCATCAGACTCGAGGCGAAGGAGCCAGCGTGATGATGCTTATAGATGTACGCATCGCCGTGGGCTGGGCAACCGAGCGGTTGCCATTGACGGGAACACCGTGCTGCCGGAGCTTTGGCGTTGCCCTCGGCCCTACGGAGAAGCGAGCAGCATTCTGCTTGACTCTACGAGGTGTAGAGTTGGCGATGGCCGAGTAGGCTAATTGCCATGGCTGTTTTCCTAGAGGCGAGACGCGGCTGGGTGGGAAGCCCGGAGCCCGCGGTGACTGGGAATGTCATCAAGATTGGATAAAGTCTGGTGTGGTTGCAGCTGGCTTGCGGTGTTGCACTGGCCTGAGGAGACGAGGATGAAATGTGATCCGTGACTCTACCCAGTATGCCATGTGAGAAGGTGAGACATTTTGATAGTGCCCATCTTTCAGGTTGTCGCAGGTTGGGACTGTTGGTGGGAAGAACGCAGAAGCATCCCGAGACAGCGGAAGAAGCTGCTCCGCGCCTTTTTCTCTTTCTCTTTTCTCTTTCTCAAGAAGTTATCGCATCAGGGGAAATAAAACCTACTGCAACACGCAGCCTGCTGTGCACTGCACTGCACGGCACTGCGAAGCGCCATCACGACTGCCGGTCGGTATTTGACTGGATCACCAGAAGAGCGTCATCGAGCCTTGTGCCCCCGTGCAGTATGCAGGCCGAGTGTCGTGCAGCCGTCGGAAACATGATGCATCATGGTGGTGGCGTCTTGAAGAAAGATAGGACAATGGTTGCCATGGGGGCCATGATTGCCGCGATGATTGCTGATTGTCGTTGGCTCGTGCTGTTTGGTGTGGTGAGAGGCGGTACGGAGATGGATCCAGGCCTGTCGCGGCGATTGCGCGCGGTTGGTTACCGTAGTGGGAAATCCCCTGAGGCGACAATCGTTGTTGGGCTTGAACAATGGCTACAGCGGTTGCTGGCGCTGACTATCATCGCCGGAGCAACAGTCATTGTCAACCCAACAGTCATTGTCACTCTCTGGCCAATCAGAGTGTCAGGACAGGGGTATATGCTGGAAATCCTTCTTCCAGTGGCCCCCTTCTGGAGTTACAGCGGCTTGCTAAATACCTCCTGGAGATACAGAGGCTCCTACTGAAGCCGTGAGACTTTTAAGAATGGAAGGAGTGGCCTGGATCGTGGAGTGGAAAAGTGGAAGGTGGAGGACTGGAGGCCTGGAGAGATGAAAAGGCCTTCGTCCATTTCAATCTGGGGCCTTGGAACTCTCTCCTCTTCAACCACCACCACCACCACCACCACTACGGCAATCGGCCTATCCAGACAGGTAAGTCGTCCAGAGTCTAAGGGCCTGTATTGAATTGAGCTGACTTTTCTGTGTAACAGGATGCCTATTGGTAAGCGAGCGACGGAGCGATCGAGCGAGCGGGCGATTGAACAAGGTGGTGGTGGTAGTAGTGGTGGTAGTGATGGTGATCTTTGTGGCGATTGGGACTTTGGTGTTTTCGGATGCTGAGGGGTTGCTTCGGGTAGATGAATTGAAATATGTAGATATCGTGGATTGTATGCCCGTGCGCCCTGAAATTCTGATGATTTCGCCCCCTTTTTTCTGGCCAATCAGAGGCTATCATTCTCGATAATGATTGTTGCGCTGACAATGACTGTTGAGGTGACAATGACTGTTCATTACCTAGTCCAAGACAGGTGGCACACGGACCACCAGTTGGCAGGTGGTCATGGCCATGTCACAGGGGTTCACATCGATCGGGTCTTTTGGTTTCAGACCCAACCCACTGTCTCCCAGCGCCACAGGCCTGGGACCTGGGTCAAATCCTTCAGATCTCCATCAGCAACGCTGCAAAATGCATTCGACATGATGGCCAAAACAACATGGACTTTGCAGTTTCGAAACCCTTGCCATATCAACCAGACCGAAACTTGTCCACTCACAACCAGATGTGGCCGCTTCTTATCGCTGGCTCTGGCACGTGGGTTGATGATTTCCCCTGTTGTGTTCCCGTCCCACCATGTCAGAATCCAAGACTTGGTATCATCTCATCACCCATCACCCCCATGCCGTCGCGTTCCAGGTTCAAGAGACAGAATTGGTGACGCTTGGGCCTCGATGACACAAAGATATTGGGGGCGTGGGCGGGAGAACAGAGAACAACAGGAACAACTCTTGACCGCGGCGTCACTTGTCATCTTTGCCAGCGCCGGCCTTCATCTCGCCGTCGCACGAATCGCCCGTCTCTCGCGAGCAGCGTCAAGTCGGGGAGCCGACAATCAAACTCGGACCTCGAGTGCCTTCTCTCAGGCCCCCGGCATCGAGATTGATAATATCCCGCGGCTCTGTCGAGAGTCGAGAGACACCGAGCCACCGTCTTCCCTGTATCACACCAGGAATTGCTTTGCTTTTTGGCTCAATTCCGAAAGGGTGTTGGCTCGTCCCAATCCGCTCATCAGCTGAGCTGGAGGGGGGGGGATAGTGGGATAGTACCTAATAACACTCGACTGCATCCTCCTCTGCTCTCACCGGGTTCCCGTCCCCGACTCTGCATGTCTCGGGGGTATTCTGAGCCAGAACATCCATCACAGTTACATATCAAATTGTCCTCCTCCTTTGTTGAACCCTCAATCTTTCTGGGCAGTGGGAGGATTGGGTGTGGGTCTCGAGATCAGGTTGGCACTTTTTCCCTATCGCATCGCCGGCGGCAGAGCCATCACCACCACCACCACCTCCACCACACCACCACCACACCAACACCACCAAAAAGTTTCTGGCGACTGCATCTGCACCTCCTTTCGGCCACTACCCCTCCCGGATCGCATTGCCGCGCGGAAGCAACCCCCCCAGCTGCTGCTGCTGCCCGGCCCTGGCATACAAAGCGCCGCCAATCCACCGTAATCGCCATTTCTTCCACTTGTCATGGCCCTGATGACCATCGGCGCCGCCGGGGAACAATGACGCCGTGCGAGCCTCGGACGTCACCGACGCTTGAGATACCGGCGACGACCTCGACATTGACCGCTTGTCCGCGCCGCCCCCAGCAGCGCTGTCGGCGTCGACGCGCCCTACCCCGCAGCCCCGACCTACCCCGATCCGCATC